TCATCTGAAGGGGACGAAGATTGTGTGTTCAACGGAGCCTTAGAGTAAAGCGGGGACCAGTCAAGGTCGCTGTCTGAATCAGATGGAGAGGCTTGTGATTTGCGGGAGCAGTCTGACAGAGAAGAAGGAGGAGAAGAAGGGTGGCGGGAATTTTTGAGCTCACCACTTCGACGTTGGTTTCTAGCTGGAGAAGAGACAGAAGAGGAGCGACCTCTATGAGAACGTTGCGAGGAGTGACGATGAGAGTCACAAGACAAGTGACGCCCGGACGGACCGGGAGATGGAGAGGGCGACGAGTGGCGTGGAGAGGCAGGCATTTGACCCGGTGGAAGACGGTGAGACGACGGTACCGGGGACGGATGGGGCTGCATAGCAGGACTGGAAAGAGGATGCTGGGATGGAAGGGGCTGCTGAGTAGCAGGATAAGGAAATTGTCGTCTCTGATCGCCGAGGAGGCTTTGTAGCTGTTCAGCCTGGACTGGAAGCATGAAGGTGTTCGATGCTTCATTGTAGAGTAGTTGAGGGAAGGTGGCTAGCCACGAATCTGAAGGCCGAGGAGCATGGCCTTGTTGTCTCATCGAGACGGAGGCCGGTGTGGAAACCGGGTCTAATTCGAGTCCGACACTTCTGGTTGAGGACGGAGAAACAGCAGGTGGAGGAGCCGTATATGAAAACGGCTGAGATCCTCGCTCGGGTTCGGCCTCGATACACACCATCAGAGAGCATGGTTTCGATCCCGATGGGTCTGTCGGGCCCAGTACCGAAGGGCCTGCAGCTGGAGGCATCGACCGTGATAGGATCGGAGTCGCACGGAGTTCTCCAGATCGTGACTTGCTCCGAGAGGTCTCGCGTTGCTCCTCATCGGCCGAGAGCCGGGGAGACAACGACCGGGCTTTTTTCGAGGATGAGGGGGCCTCCACAATGGTCTCCAGATGCTTGCGTTTGGAGGATCTTTTTCCACCCCTCTCCAAACCCTTAGAACTTACTTCATCCGATTTGGAGGACCTCTTAGAATGCTCCTTGGATCTGCCCTGGTGAGGGGTGTCTGAGGGAGGTTTTGTCATGCCCACGGAAGCCAAAGCAGAAGCTGGGGAGTCAGCTTGTAAGGCCTTTTCCCAGAGAGCTGCCTTGAGTTTCACCATCCGGTTCTTCAAGGCCTGAGGCGTCATTTTCCTGCACATTTTGCAGGTAGTAGGGTTGTGAGTTTCTCCCAAGCAGAAAATGCACTCATCGTGCTGATCAGAGGTGGGCAACTTGGAGTTGCAAGACGTGCAATGATTAAAGGAGGCCATGGCGTCGTCATCTGGAGGATGAAACAAACACGAAGTCTAACAGTCCAGTTTCAGAGAAGGAGCATCAAGAATAACGTAGAAATCCAAGCCGTAGTCGATAAACAGTCCGAAGGTTAATGTCCAGTAGTTGCAATCCAGAAATCAGAAGAGATTTTGGTCAAAGCCGTTAATGAGTAACTGCACTAGTGACGAGGTTCCTTGCAAGCTGCAAAAGCAGTGGATGAAAGGAACTGAAGAGCGAGCGGGAACGCGGGACCTATATAGAGGAGGGCAGAGCTACCGCCAAAAAGTTGCAATCCAACTTCTGCCTAGTGATTCCAGAAGGTTCCGAGATAGCTGCGCATGCGCAGACAAAACCCATTTGTGTGATTCGCAGAGACCACGAAAAAGAAAGTAAAATATACATCCTACTCCTGTAAAACCATGAACCTGCCAAAAAGGCAGGCAGAAGAAAAAAGGGGGAAAGAACATTGAACTCATTTAGCGTACTTGAATTGCAGATTATTTAAAAATCAAATCATTTAATCTGCTTCAGTGAGTTCTGTGGCCCTCAAGCAGTAGAGAGAAAGTCTTGGAAATTCCTTGAAGATGTTCCAAGAAATGTTGAATATAAGAAAGCAAGAATGCCATACAGTCCATCTGAGGGAAGAAAACTAAAATAAAATGGAACCTGTCATATTTACACAGAAATGGACAGTTCTGTATATACAGGACTCCAAGACCATTGGATTCTTGTTACATTTTTCTTCCTGTAATGTTGAACTGATTTCTGAAGAGCTCTTTTAGCCTTCTCTTTGCTGCCAAAGTTATTGCATTTCTTTAAATTAAAGTATATGCATTCATAATTGGCAAAACTAAAGTCTAGCTTTGAGGAATGCTGCCCTTATAGTTATGATGAATAGATGGATATAATGGTAAGTTGTCTGGCTTCCAGTGAGCAGTTTTGTGATTGGGGTTTTTTTTTGGGAGGGGGAGTTAATTAGGTTTGTTTCCATCTTCTGATGGGATTTCACTTTCTTAGACCTGTCCAGTTGGCTGATTCATGTCAATCTGAAATAGTTGTGTAGAGATTGTTAGCCTTACCATGGCAGCATAGTAAGCATAATTTTGATGGTAACTAAAAACCATTAGAACCAGTGTGGTGCAGTGGTTTGAGTGTTGGACTATGACTCTGGAGGCCAAGGTTTTATTCCTTGCTCAGCCTTGTAAACCCATTGGGTGACCTTGGGCACGATACATACTCTCAGCCCAGGAAACAGCATGATAGGGTTTCCATAAGCTGAAATGATTTGAAGGTACAGAACAGCAAGAGAAACTGTTATTTGTTCCACAAGCATAGAAACTACTAATCTATCTCTCAGGTTTTTATGTAATGGGAGTACAACAAAGTTACATTTCAAAAGTAATGCAATGAATAGGAATGGTTACTATGTTGGTGTAACTAGTAACTATTTCTGGTTCCTTTAAAAAGTTACTTTTAAGAGTATTGACATGTTCTTTCACACGTTGTGTCATTCCATTATTATTCTTAAATTTCTTCCCCAAAAAGTGACTAAGCTTTTTAAAAAGTGCAATAAGTAACAGCAATTTTCTTTCACAATACTAATAAATAACAGAATAGGTTAAGTTTTCACAAACTGTTACATGTAAACTACTTTTTAAAGCTCTACCTCTGCTCTGGAGATGATTGGAGCAGAGTAGCCTGTATTGTGGGAAGCAGCAATTTTGAAGCCTCCACTATATGGTGGCAAACAAGCCTTGGGGAGTTTAGTGTGTGTCGAATTTGACATTATTAGCATATCCTACACCCCTCCTGCTGGATATGCAGAGTCATGACAGCCAACATGGTATAGTGGTTTGAGTGCTGGACTACAGCTCTGGTGGCCAGGGTTCAAATCCCATGAAAACCAACTGGGCGCCCTGGGCAAGTTACAGTATTGCAGCCTCAGAGAAAGGCAATGGCAAACCTCCTCTAAACACTGAAAACTCTGTGATAGGTTTGTCTTAGGATTACCATAAGTTAGAAATGACTTGAAGGACATAACAAAAAGAACAATTAATATCTAGGGTTGGGCATGTTTTGTGGTCATGATGACCTACAAGAACTAGGAGTTATACACGTGTAGGAGTCACGACTAAGGAAATGGGTTTGCTGATCACCTCACTTCACCTAGAGCTCCATGCATTTCTACTGAAACTGAAAACAAAGGGAGCCCCATCATAAGGCAATCAGTGTTGTTGTTAGCTGCCCTCAAGTCAACCTTGACTCATGGCAACTCTGTGAATGACACACCTCCAAGACCCCTGCCCTCAACTCCTCTACTCAGGTCCTGTAAATTCAGACCGGTGACCTTCTTAGTTCTATCCATCTGGCATGCGGCCTTCCTCTCATTCTGCTGCCTTCTACCTTTCCTAGCATTAGTGTCTTTTCCAGTGTTTCATGCCTTCTCATGAAGGGACCAAAATATAACTGCCTCAGTTTCATAATCTTGGCTTCCAGAGAGTTCAGGCTTGATCTCTTCTAGGACCTATTTGTTTGTCTTTTTGGCTTCCCATGGCATCCTCAGCACTCTTCTCCAGCACCACATCTCAAATGAGTTGTGATGACAACAATGTCAACTAATGCTAACAACTATGGAAAACAAAATGGTGGCCAACAGACTGGAAAACATCAATATAGATCCTAATCTGCAAAAAAGACTTCAGCAACCATAGGACTATAGCATTAATATCCCATGTAAGCAAAATTATGCTCAAATTCTTCAGTACAGACACAAATCATATATGGAGAGAGAAATCCCATTGGTGCAAGTGTGGTTCAGAAAAGGAAAAGGCACTAGCAACCGCAAGGCAAACATATGATGGAACACACCAAGGAATCCCAGGAAGAACTGCATGTGCTCTATAGACTGTAACAAACCCTTTGACTACATAAATCTCAAAAAACTATAGAATGCTCTTAAAGATATGGGAGTGCCACTACATTTGATAGTCCTGATAAGAAATCTGCATTTGGGACAAGAGGATACTATTAGAACAGTATATGGAGAAAGAATGGTTCCCATCTGGTGAAGGGGGTCAGGCAAGGATGAATTCTATCACTCTACTTGTTCATCTTGTACACCGAAAATATCATATGAAGAGCAGGCTTAGACTCAGAAGAAGGAAGAATGGAGATAGGAGGAAGGAAATCAACAATCTAAGATATGCAGATGAGGAAAAACACCACAGATTTGGAACAATTACTAAGGAAGGTAAAAGAAGAAAGTGCAAAGGCAGGCTTGATACTGAACATAAAGAAAACAAAAATAATGACCAAGGAGGACCTATATACATTCACCCTAGACAATAAGGAAATTGAAATAGTTAAAGATTTCTTGTACCTTGGATCAAACATTGATCAGAATGGAAACTGCAGTCAAGAAATAAGACTAGGAATGGGAAGGGCAAACATGAAAGAACTAGACAAGATCCTAAAGTGTAAAGATATACAACTGAGCACTAAAGTTAGAATAATCTATTTCATTGTATTCCCCATCACTATGTACAGATGTGAGAGTCAAGAAAGCTGATAGGAAGGCAATCATTGACTTTACCCCACCTTAGGACAGTGTTCCTGAACACCTTTTCTGCCCAATCATTAAGAGATTATCTCTAATCTAATCAATGTATCATCACTCCAGAACTAAAGCCATCAGCCATTCTGGATCCTTTTGTCAGTGCCCTGGGAAAGGCCTTTGTCATATCACACAACACACCCCTCAAGGGTATGAAACAGGATATAAATATCTGCCCCATCCCTAACCATGTTGCTCACAGACCTGGGCTCTGTTCACAGACCAAGATCCCTCCATGTAAGTCTCAGCCATGGTTTGAGCCACTTTGCATTTTCCATTGACGTCTCTTCAGGACTGGTAATTATCACCCTCTTTAACCTCTGACTTCTCTCTATCCAACCTTCCATACCATTGTTTTCAATATCCTTGTATGGTTGTTAAGATCACCTTGGTTCTTGTATCTCTGTGTGCACCCTTGCACATTTCTAAATAAAACACTTTATTTACTGAAACTGGAATACTCTGCAGTTATTACCAGTATACATAGGTGAAAATGTTCCCTCAGTTACCCCCCTCTTGCAGGCCTCCTTTGAGCTATACTTTACCCAAATTTCAAGGAAATGCTAGCACTGAGGTTGGGGGACCCCCCCCCCAACATCCTCCACCTTTTAGGATAACAGCATAACACCCCTCCCGCCAACGGACCAGCTGAGGCGGCGACGCGAGCGGGAGGCCGAGGCGGAGGCGCTGGGGCTGCCGGGGACCAACACCTCCACCACCAACACACCTGGGACTGGAGCGCGGCCGGGAAGAACTCAAAAGCGCGCCAGCTTTCACCCCTGCTGCCAACGGACCAGCTCAGGTGGTGACGCAAGCGGGAGGCGGAGGCGGAGGCGCTGGGGCCGCCGGGGACTAACACCTCCCCCACCAATATACTTGTGACCACAACGGGGCTGGAGAGACTGGGAAGAGCTTAAAACCCTCCACTAGTAACATCTTCCCCAGCAACAGCATGATAATGTGTTTAAATTGTATTTGTATTTTATATTGTACATTGGATATTTTTTAACAATTGTTTTAAATTGCTTTGTTTGTTTTGTTTTTGAGGGG